CCCCAACAAGTCTGCCGGCATCAGGTGCTCTCATGGGGGCCAGGGAGGTCCTCGGGCCCTGTGAGGCTGCATCCAGTCCCTCGTGTCCCCCTCCAGGCCAACAACAATGCGGCCGTGTGCCTGCTCTACCTGGGCCGACTCAAGGACTCGCTGCGGCAGCTGGAGGCCATGACCCAGCAGGACCCGCGGCACTGCCTGCACGAGAGCGCGCTCTTCAACCTGACCACCATGTACGAGCTGGAGTCGTCCCGGAGTCTGCAGAAGAAGCAGGCTCTGCTCGAGGCCGTGGCCGGCGAGGGCGGGGACGGCTTCAACGCGCAGTGCCTCAAGCTGGCCTAGTCCCCGCCTGGCGCCTGCGAGCCGGCCTCCTCCATCCAGCCGAGGCCCAGGCCGCTCCGGCCACTCGCACACGCGGGGTGAACCTAACCCAAGGGAGGGGGTCCAGGGCGCCTCGGCCCCTCCTGTGCATTCCTGGAAGCTGACCTGCTTCATGTGCTAAGCTGAGCCACATGACAAACCGTTCTCGCTCCGAGCCTGAATGTTCTAGAGGACTCACAGATGGATAAGGGGGAAGAGAGGCCGTCCGCCCCCGCTGGCATCCCCGGCGAACCGCGTCCACTCTGCTCCTTTCCCAGCCCGTGCTGGTCACCTCGGGCGGTGAACGAACCCGTCCTTCCTCCTCCTGCATTTGCACATCAGAGGGAGCACGGGCGGGGACGCCTGGGGGGGGTCCGGAGAACTCGGGGCCCTGCTGCACAGAGCGAGGGCGGGCCTCACGGCACGGACACTGCCCTTGCAGCGCTGAGGGTCAGGGCGCCTGCGCCCCTGTTTGCGCGGCCGCTCCTGCTTTCGGAGCCTCTGAGGAGCCCGAGTGCTTCTTCACCAAGGACTCTGCCCGCAGTGCCCTTCAGACGCCGGCTGCTCTGACACACACACTTCCACACGGGGCCCACTTTAGAGACGGAGAGAAGCAGCCATTGCAGAAAGCAAAGCGAAGCTGTATCTCTGGTCGTGTTTGTAACAAAGTAAAAACACACATGCGGCGTCTACTGGGCAGATGGTCCCAGTAGTACAGATTCATCACACGTTAAAACAGAAAAAGGTGAGGCCCCCAAGAGGGCCGTGGCATGCCAAGGAGGTCCTAACGTCGTCTCTTTCTTTTCAAGAAGAAAAATCAGAACTACTTATGTTTCAAAAGCCCCAAAATACGCCATTTTAATTTCTTCACCTTGAGGGTTTTCCTTCAAATCTGGTGGCGGATGCAGGGGGGGGGCCGGTGCTTGTAAACAAGGCTCGGCCTCCACCTTGATCCTGTGCGGGGCGGGAGGCGTCCGCTCGGATCCCCTCGGATTCCGGAACCATCCTTCCCGGGTCCGCTGTGTACAGAGCGGGTAGCACTGCACAGGCTCCCGGGGGCGGAGGCCAAGCCAGTCAGAAACCGGACTCCAGGCTCCCCAGTAAATCAGTATTTTCATCCTGGATGCACCCTCCCTGACCCCCATTCCCTCCGGGGGCGTCGAGACAGGCAGAGCGAGCACTAAACCCCTGCCGTCTGGGGCTCGCTGGGGCTCCGCACGTTTGCAGATCCTCAGAGGCAGCGAGGGAAGCGCGCCCTGGGTGTCTGTAAGGTCTGGGGTAACAGCTGTACCTTATCTAGTCCGCACTCCGTTTTCCTCTTCCTCAATTTCTTAAAAGATTAAGTGCATCCGGTGGTGCCGTGTGTGGTCTCCTCCGGCCCCCACGAGGTAGTTCTGGCCCAGGGGACGAGGCCGGGTCTGCACCCGCGCCCTGGGCCCAGACCCAGTACCCCTCCGCCCATCACACAGGCTCCTGGGAAGCGCCCAGAAAGCTCTTCCCAGAACTCACAGTTTGAAGCCCTCACCCCAGCGTGACCGTCTGTGGAGACGGGCCTTCGAGGAGGTGACAGGTGAGGTGAAGTCACAGGGTGGGGAGAGGCCACGTGCGGGCTCGGCCATGGAGCGAGGCCTGGGAGTGGCCAGCCCTGTGGCACCTTGAGCTCGGACCTCCAGCCCCCAGAGCCGCTATCGGCGGCATCTGTCACAGCAGCTGAGCTGGCAAGACACCCACTCCCCTCCCTGCGGTCCCTGCACCAACGCTGTGGGCAGCCCACGGGGGAGCAGGGCCCCTGCCACCGCTCGACTCCGCCCTTCCGTGACCTGTGTCCTGGACGGTGCAGGGCGGCCTGTCTGCTGTGGCACCCTTGGGCCTGGGACGGCGTCTGCAGCCGGTGAGCCCAGGAGTGACTGAGCCAGCACGAGCCAGCCCGAGACGGGCCCCCCCACACACACACACCCCCCAGCCAAATGCTCACCAGGCGGGAGACCTGACAGTCCACGAACCTCGTCGGGATGCACACCCAGACCTGGCTTGTAGGAGCAGAAAGAGATGAGCTTTTCTGGAAAAGAAGTTTGCAACTGAGTCAAAATTTTACAGTAGGGGGGCTTCCCTGGTGGCACAGTGGTTGAGAGTCCGCCTGCCGATGCAGGGGACACGGGTTCGTGCCCTGGTCCGGGAGGATCCCACATGCCGCGGAGCGGCTGGGCCCGTGAGCCATGGCCTCTGAGCCTGCACGTCCGGAGCCTGTGCTCCACAACGGGAGAGGCCACAACAGTGAGAGGCCCGTGAACCGCAAAAACAAAAAAAATTTTACAGTAGGGGAGTGGTTTCACTAATTGCCCCATATTCCTAAGACGCGTTTATGCAAGACCATGTTTAAAAAGTTAATGACATGGAAAAGTACTCAAAGGAAATGTATATTTACATAATACGTGCATATGTTAACGGAAGGGACTGAAAAGTGACACTAGATGTTAAATCGCAGCCACAGCAGGACGAGCACGATGGCATTTCTGTTTGCCCTTCTGTGACTCTGAACCTCACACTTTCCACGTTGTGTGTGTGTGTTGTTTTTATAACCAGAGAGGAAAAAAATCATCAAAATTGGTAAATGTTTTGCCTTTAAAAAATAAAGTGATTTAAAATTCATAGTGATAGTGTGACATGCTCTATAATTGAACAGTATATACAGCGATTAAAAGGAATAGTCTGGACATGTATTCACACGGACATATCCAAAACCTGCTCAAATAGTCAAGATTAGGATTGTATATACAATGAAATGCCATTTAGTTTTAAAATACAAACATTGTTTGTAGGTACACGTTTGCAGAACTGGAGAAAACCAGGTTGCAGGAACCACGTGGCTCAGTGAGTGTCTGAGGGGAGCGAGGAAGGGGCTGGGGGATGGTCCTGGGAGACTCACCGGTGTCTGCAGAGGGCCAGTGTTTTTTTTTAGAATGGTGGTTTTTTAATGTCATCCTTTATGCTTTCTCTCGGTTTCTGGAAATACAAAGTAATTGATGCCTGGTTGCGGATGGTTCCCACTGCTGCCACGGAAGGCCAGCCGGTCCCTGCGGGTCGGGTGTCACGACACAAGGACACTCAGACAACCTCGTCATCCTGGGGCCTCAGCGGCCCGCGGGGAACAGCGCTAGTGCCCTGGGAGGCGCGAGGCCTGGCCTGGCGGTGGGAGCCGCAGTGCAGGGCTTCCCAGGCTCCACAACCCTCAGGGCCCGGGGAGGAGGGAGCACACAGGAGCGAGGGGAGCAGAGTGAGGAGGAGGGTCGCTTCACCAACAGCCTTGGCGGGAGCGCTGATGCTGCTGGACCGCAGGCGCCCAAGATCCACGGCCCACAAGGCTGTGCGGCACCCTTCGCGATCACGGAAAGCAAAGCCAAACCAAAAACCGGGGCGCAGCGTTAAGTGTCCCCCCGTCCGGAATACAAATATTTCAACCCACACCGTATACTCAAGAGCCGCTGAGAAAAAGTCAGTCTTTCCTTCCACAGGCTGACGCTAACAAGATGGCTGCTCAGGAAAGCAGTCTTGCACCCAGCAGTGCTGGGGCCGCACCCAAGGTCTACAGTGCGTTTTCCAGGGGCATGGCTGGGGCCCCTCGGGGAAAGGGGGCTTCACACGCTGCCTCGGAATTGTTAGGGTTAGCGACGCGTGTACTCATGTACTGTGATGCTCACCTGCGTGTGCACATGCACGCACACGCACACACACACACACACACACACACGACGGGCTGTGCAGGACGATTCCCTCAAATAGACCTGTGGAGCCCAGGACAGTCCCTCCGTCCCCGTGAGGCTCGCCCTGGACCCCATGCAGCGCACACTGCCAGCTGCGCGTGAGGGCCAGGCCCGGCCGGCATGGAGCTGGACTGCGACCCCGAGACCCCGGCTGCCACCTGGGGAAGAGGGCCGCTCATTCAGCGAGGTCGGCTGGGCCACCAGCGCTGTGATTCGGCACAGATTCCACGGCCTTGGGTCCCCTCACCTGGTCCTCACGGCCAACCCCAGTCACTCCCAACAGCAGGGCATCTGGCAGGTGCCGGGCAAGGCGGGAGAAGGTGCGGGAGAGACTCGCTTCAGCCAGGAAGACAACAGGACAGCCCACAGGAGGACGCCCCCTCGAGATGGCGCTGATGTGGCCAGCAGACAACACGGGCGCCCAGGGCGACTGTGATGCAAGGTGGCCACGTGCGGTCGGACAGCAGGGTGAACTCCGGCCACCAGTCAGGAGCCTTCAACTAAGGATCCCTCCGGGAGGACGTGACCCGGGTGCACCCGTGCGGGGGGGTCCAGGGACCAGCGGAGCCAGGGGACAGCGACGGGGGCACCGACAGACACCTTCCTGGGGCAGGGCCGGCGGCGACGGGGAAAGGGTTCTGGTTTCAGAGACGGGCGCCGTCCACGAGGACGACAACCCGGGACTCCTGTGAGCAGCGGGGACGGTGCCCGGGGCTCCCTCCTGGCCCACGGGTGTGCCGGGTCCTCCCCACACCCAGCACCGGGGAGACGCCGGCCCGGGACCAGCCCTTGCTCACCGCCTGCACGACCGCGGGTGGGAAGCCGAACCCTCCCAGCCCCGGGGTCTCATCTGAAAGACTGGGTTAGTTTCCCGAAGCTGCCGCAGCAAATCACCACAGACGGGGCGGCTGGACCCCACCCGTGTCCCCCATCTCACGTGCAGGCCAGCGGTGCGCACCCCAGGCGTCTGCGAGCCCGGCTCCTCTGGGGGCTCCGGCTGCAGCCCCCTCCTCGGTCCTCAGAGGTCCTCACACGTCTGCCTCCGTGGCCGCTCTTCTTGTAAGGGCCCCAGGCCTCGGTTCAGGGCCCGCCCTCACCCAGGAGGACCTCACCCAGAGCCCTGTCCAATCACATCTGCAAAGGCCCTATTTCCAAATAAAGTCACGCTCTGAGCTCCCAGCTGATGTGAATTTTCGGTGGTTAGTATCCAGCCCACGACCC